TGAATCCATTTGTGTACCATACAGCAGTAATTTTTTACAAGCTCGTTGATTTGGTTTGGGATTAACCATGAATTAAAGTTAGTCTTCAGATTTAGCAAATAAAGACATGAATTACCACTGATGTTTGAATTATGAATTCTAATTGATGAGTAAAACTGAAAACAAAGCTTTGATACAGTGATAAGAATATAATTAGCTTATATTATTCCTGCAATTCTTCTAGTGTTAATTATATTTTAATTATATTATTAATTATCTTTACCCTACTCAGGATTTTTGGTAGGAAATAGTACTTTCCAGGAAGTTGCTTAATAAGTTTAAACACAGAATAAATATATGTATTTACATATATATAAATAATTTACATAGATATAAATTGTTTTTCTTCACAGGTTCCCTGGTTTCAAGGAAGTACGTTTGGTACCTGGGCGGCATGACATTGCATTTGTTGAATTTGAAAATGATGGACAGGCTGGAGCTGCCAGGGATGCTTTACAAGGATTTAAGATCACACCATCTCATGCCATGAAGATCACCTATGCCAAGAAATAACATTTGGGAGAGTTGTCTTTAAAGGACTTGGAGTTATTTATAGTGTTTGTTTTCATAACAATTGGTCAGGCCATTTTAATAGTTGGGGCTGGAAGAAATGCAAGTAAAATTTTTGTGTAGATTTTTAAAAATTACCTACTAGTGAACTATGAAATGTGAAGGCCTTAATTTTGTACAATAAAGTTTTATACATAATACTTCATTTATTGGCCCACTGTCCTATTGTCAAATACTTGGGCTAAGTCTAGAGCACATGTTAAGGTAAATAAAACTGTAATAGGATGTTTTTCTGGTATTGGAGCAGCTAATGAGAAACAGTGAACCATTTTAGTAAAAGCAAAGGGGAATTAGATCAAGCTCTTGATTAGATTTTCTATAATGTTATTTTCTATGCATATGAACTGGGCAGGAGCTAAATTTGATCTTCATATTCAAATAAATGAGCATAGTATTTTGCTAGTAAAAGGCATTTCACAAATCTTTTTGTTCAGTGTTGAATAAAGGCCATTTAGGAGTAACTACTTACTGTTTTCTGGGAAAACAGCAAAAAAATGGTGTCTATAAACTTCACATCTTGTACTCTTACCCTCTTGAGGCAGGACTGTTCTAAGGAACACCTGTGTGGTTAATATTGAAGCTCTATTGAAAGACCTCAAGGTAAAGATTTTACAGTCTACAATCTTTTTTGAGAAAAATAAACTGACTTATGAAGGGTTGCCAATCCTAATCTTGCTGTTTTTGTAAGCCTCAAATACCAATGTTCCAATCTTTTCAACGCTTATGTTCTTTAGATTTGATTTATATCTAAGGCCATTGATTCAGGCCCCTGCTTGTAAAACCATGGTATCTAAAGAAGTGGGCAGTTTTTTCATGGATCGTTCATATTAAAGTGACTTTAAAAAAAAATGTATTTTTAATCCTCACTGGAGGAGGGGAGAGGGGGAAAGAGAGAGAAACATCTATAGGAGAGAGAAACATAGATCAGTTACCTCCTGTACACACCCCAACCAGGGATTGAACCCGCCCTGACTGGGAACTGACTCTCCAACCAACTGAGCCACCCTGGCCAGGGCTCAAGTGATATTATTGATCATTTTTTCATATTCCTGTTTTAATATTTCCTTGAACAAAACTTACCACTTAGAATTTGTATTGGTTTTCTTTCAAATTCATACTTGACTATTAACAAGCCATCAGGTCAACTTCCCTCCTGCTCTCTTTCTAAATTATTGCTCTTAACTTTACCTTCAAGCACATTTTTGTCTTTGTTTTCCTCTTTGGAACTCAAAGACTTGTATTCCCATCTTGCCTGAGTCCTCCCTTTCGGTGGCCAGCAGCTGCCTTCCTCCCCTCTCTGTGGGGTGTCAGTCCAGTCTTTCTGCTTCCGACTCTTCTGCAAGCCTGCCATGAAGTCTGTGCTCTGCGTCAGGCTCTGAATTCTCTCCTGGCTAAGAATGTTCACTCCTGAGTGCAATAGCTTCGTTGCAGCTTTATAATAAGTGGTCCCTGGTTTGTTGTAAATCATAGCATCAGTACACATAAGCTTGAAGTTATCCTTCAGTTCTGTAGACTGATAGTCGGTCTTCTTCATGGTACTAAAATCTATTGGGTGGTTAATGATCATGAAGTAGCTGGGAGCAATAAAGTCAGTCACAGGAAATGAAAAGAAAGCACTTGGGTCTTTTATTTGCAACTGTCTCATCAATTGATTCAAAGAGGTGTGTGTTCTACTTCTTGTTTGGCGAAGGAGCTTGGGAGGCTTGTCAGGAGGCAAGTCTAATCCTGCAGGGGCCTGGCCCTGGAGGTCTTTTTCTGCCTCATTCTCCACATGATCCCTATCTGGCTTCTTTCTATCTTCCTTCACACGCTTCTGTGTTTCTCCCTTGAACCTGCTTTTTGTCTTTCTCTTTTTCTGAGTTCTGTCCTTGTGTTCGTCATGATCCTTCTCTCAAAAAGGCTTGAGTCGTGCCCCAAGCTGCAGGTGGAGAGCTTGTTGACATCTTTCCCTCCTACTTGGAGGACCAGCTTCAAGGGCTTCTCGCATGTTCCTAGTAGAGGCAGGTGTTTGTAAGGCCTGTGCTTCTTGCCCATGTCCCACCAGAACCGTGGTGCCTGCCCCTCGAGGCAGGCGCAGGCCCTGCAGCACCACATCTGGACAGGGCCAGGTGAGGGAGGGCCCAAGCGGGGCCTGAGAGAGAGCTCCAGCCCCTCCAACCCAGCCCGAGAGCCTCATGATCTTAATTTTATAGAGAAGATCTATACACACCTGAACACTTATTCTAGCCCCCCTGCCCTTATTTGTAACTTTCCACCAGTCCCATTAACCTCAATGCATTTACTGACTTGCTCAAACCTCCCTGTATGTAATCAAACTTTAGAAAGCAAGGCTTCATGAGGGAGGAAAGATAAGGAAAAGGAGCTAATTATTCTTTGAAGAAGACATGTTCAAACTAGGCTTTTTTGACCTTTACCCATCTGTGGGAGTGGGAGTGTCTAGGAGTATTTGGAGGGAACAGTGTTGCTACCCATCTAATATAGCGGTTCTCAATTTTGAATTTGATTTTCGGCTTTGGCTGCATATTAGAATCATCTGGGAAGCATTTTCAAACATTTTCTAATCCACACTCCATATCAGTTAAATCCAGGGTGAAACCCATTCATCAATCATTTTTAAGCTCCTTGGTTCCAATGTGAGTCAAGGTTAAGAAAGAACAAAGTAGATTTCTACCGTACAAGTATGTTATAATGATTAGATCATTCTTTCAAATTGTGTTTTTCAAAGGCAGTATAAATACAAGATAGTATAAAAGTGAAAACTTGTGAAAGGCTCACATCTCCATTTTAAACTTTAAGGCTTGAAGTATTTTCTGTTTGGGTATTTAATAAGCCTTTTGTCGTTGGAAAATGTATCCAGCAAAGACCTAATGAAGAATCAAACTCTGGCTAAAACATTTTGCTTTATTTGATTTGCCCTCTAGCAATTCTTCTCAAGCTTTAATGTTCATATTAACCCTTTGCATATCTTGTCACAACATAGATTCAGATTTACGAGGTCTGGGATGAGGTAAGAGAGACTATAAAGTGATGTCAAAGTTGCTTGTCTGAGGACCATACTTTGGTGGCCAGACCACTGAGTCTCTGCCCTAATAATTTAGTCAGTGAATACTAATTTTGGAAGAATGAGCCTCTTTTTGAATATGATAAAACCTAGGGACTTTCACCAGAAAAAAAAAATGGACATGTGCATGTATATACCTAAGCATACTATTTCAGGGGACTCATGCATTTATTCAATGAATACCTATTTATGAGTACTAAGTATTTTTGAGTGCTAATTATAGAGTGATGAGCAAGATAGACAAGATCTCCACCTCATAGAGCTTTGGGGGACAAAACACCACCAAGTAAATGAAAAAGGCATGCCACATGCCACGGTCCCATGATGGAGAGATTGGTTGGAGGAGTGCAGGAAGTGGTCTGGTAAACTGGTCTGTTTGTGGAGACATCTTGGCCAGAGACCTGAACACCACTCACTGGAGGGAAAGCATCCCAGGCGATAAACTGAGAGGTCTGAAGTGGAAACGAGCTCAGCATTTTCAAAAGACAGAGAGCAGCTGGTATGGCAGGCACAGAGCAAGTGAGGGAGAGTGACAGGAGGTGACTTCAGGGGCAGCGGCCAGATCACTCAGAGCCTTGTAGGTTGTGACAAGGAGGCGGCTTCCACCCCACCCACTTGCCCAAGCCTATTTCTAGACCCTAAGGGAGCCACAGTCTCCATTTCACGAACTCCAGAGGGAGATGCTCATTTAAGAAAAAATGTCTTATGGGGGTTAAAGACTTAGAGAATACATCTGAAAATACAGAGGACAGAGCCATTTTCTGGACCCTCAGATGGGCAGTGTCTCGAGCATGGCTGCCAGGCACAACTGCTTGCTGAATTATTGCAAGTTAAAGTTGCTATTTGCAAGCAACATTTTACAGAGGCCTCTCTCTAGTCATCATCCTGTCTCTGCCCACTACAGAATGCTCAGGCATCCCAGGCCTGCCCGCGATACACTCAGTAGGCTTGACATCTTTTTACTTCTTCAAATGGCCAATAAGGGCTTTGTATTTGCTGAGTTGTGAGAGCTTGGATGTGGCTTTATTCAACATGTCACTCTGCTTTGGGGAGCCTATATACAGTGTGGCAATCTGACTTTGCGCAGTCTCCATTTCTTCAAGTGACTCAAAAGGTAATTGTCTTTGAACTCTCCTATGTTGAGGGCTGGCTTGAGACTGTAAACCAGGGGTCCTCAAACTACGGCCCGCGGGCCACATGCAAATACAAATATTGTATTTGTTCCCGTTTTGTTTTTTTACTTCAAAATAAGATATGTGCAGTGTGCATAGGAATTTGTTCATAGTTTTTTTTTTTAAACTATAGTCCGGCCCTCCAACGGTCTGAGGGATAGTGAACTGGCCCCCTGTTTAAAAAGTTTGAGGACCCCTGCTGTAAACAGTCTGTAAAACAGCTGCCCCATCAGAACTAAGAAGATTTAATACTTTACTTTTTCCAGAGATCCTCTTAGATCCCTAAATTAGAGGAAGGAAAATACACTGGCATTCTGATTTCTAATTCATTCTGTTCTTGAAGTGAATCTGAAAATAAAGAATTCAAAATCTCAATTCTAATTTGAGAGCAGACGTGTGGAAACAGCACTGAACCACAGTCCTGCCGGCAGCCTTTAGATTGTGTGGTTAAGAAGGCAGCCCTGGCCTTTACTGGGCCTCAGTTTTTTCATCTATAATGAAGATATTGAATTAAACAAGCTTCTAAACCAGGGCCAGCTGTATGAAAGATCCTCCCCTGAAAATCACACTGCCCCCTGTCCACACACAAACAAAACAAGGAAACTTTCTTACACTCACACACACACACACACACACACACACACACCAATCAATCAATTTTTAAAATTCTACTGTATATATATTTTGCTTTTCCAGTTTCTCCCTTAGAGAATTATTTTGTACAAAATTAATTTGTAAGTTGCATGGTTGGCCTTCATTTTTTGAGGTGACTGCATTTGGGGGCTGGGTCGGAGAGGCACTGCTCTGAAACCTGGTCGTCCACCAAGTGGGCGGGGCATCCTGACAGGGACCTCTAGTCCATAAACCATGGAGCAGGGCACTTTATGGGAGAGATGCCAGCCCCAAACACTATATAAAACTAGCAACCTACTGTATGTCTCTGCTAATAGAAAGTAAACCTGTGGGACTACAGACTATTCACTCCTATGTCTCTAGTGTCTACAACAGTGCCTGGCACAAGGTAGGTGCTTAGTAAATTTGTTGAATAGATGGAGCCAGGTATTGTGTTTCAACTTTGGTGGCTTCTAGCAGTGCCACACTTTTCATGGGAAAGATGCCCAGGAGCAGGGAAGGGGTGGGAGTGGTAACTCAACCCTCTAGCTTTGCTCCCTTCTTTAGGATCCAAAATCCTTGAACATTTTGAGACTGACTTTCAAAAGTCTCTGATAAAGTAGGTGGAGAAAAGATTGTTCCATTTTTCCAACCCACCCATCTCTTCCTTTCCTCATTGGTAGGGTCTGAATGTGACTCCTGTGCTACAATCCATGTCTGCCCCATGGCAGACACAATTTCTAAGAATCCTATTATGAATGACTTCTAAACTCAAGAATCCTTTCATTCACCTGTTATATAAACCGAGATAGTCAATTGGATTTGTTTAAAACAAAATCCTTTGGACCAAAGATGTAGCTCTCACATTTTCAACAGATTCCTACAGTGAGCACATTTTTGCTCAGAGGTTGAAAGAATATGAGAATTGAACTAAATTTTTTTAAACAGATTTAAAATTCTCCTAGTTTTCTCAACAATGCCCTGCTGATGCAGTAAACCACAACTAAAGTGGCTTGAACAATGATGGACCGGTTGGAAATCATTTATGTATAAAAAGGAGACATAGAATTTGAGTCTCTTTGGAAAATCAGATGCGAAGTAGCCCCTGGAGCCCAGTAGCTGTTATGAAAGCAGAGGCACCTTCCCATTGGCCGGGGGGTTTACCCAGATGTCTGGCTTTCACATAAAAGGCAGGAACCACTGAAGTCAGTTTCCACTTCCACTCAAAGGGCGATAGCATAAGCAGCAAACAAGGCGATGGCAAGACTATTGTTACTTTTCCTTCCAGCTCTTGTGGCCTTAGGCACCGTGCATGGAATATTTATGGACAAACTTGCTTCCAAGAAGCTCTGTGCAGATGACGAGTGTGTCTGTAAGGACTTTTTAAATGCCTTTTATTATGTTGTTATTAAATAATTGAAAACTATCCACTAACAGCACAAAATCTGATTGTTCTTTGAAGTGAATCTTCTCTAATGTGTATGTTTGATTGGCATTGTTTTATCCTGGTCTGTATCTCTAGAGAGTTAACCATAGGATATCTGCTTGGCTAAGGTTCTGTTGGATGCAGCTTTAATGCTTTGTATTTCTTACTCCCTTTGAACTGACCAGAAGCTGTGAATGGGGAGGTATTAGTCACTCTGATTTCCGAGTTTTCTGCTCTGCTCTGCCTTTTTACTGTTTTAAAATCTAGGAGCCAAAAAAGTAGTCATTCAATGTTTGTTTTGTTTTTCCTTCCAGATACTATTTCTCTGTCCAGAGCTCAAGAAGATTACAATGCCCCAGACTGTAGATTCATTAACGTTAAAAAAGGGCAGCAGATATATGTTTACTCAAAGCTGGTAAAAGAAAATGAAGCTGGAGAATTTTGGGCTGGCAGTGTAAGATGAGATTATTGAAAATATACACACATCTTGACATATGTTGCTCTTAATGTTCTTCTCTATTACCTATCTTCAATGCATTTTACATGTTTAAAACTGGCCATTAAGAACAATGTAGAGATTGTAGATGCAAGTACAAAAATTCATGTATATTTGTTTTTATGGTATTTTGAACAAACAATGACAATTTTATAACAGAGCCAAATGCAGGCTTATGTGATGTTTTTGCAAGAAAAACTAGTCAGATACATGGGAACTTGAGCCTCCCAAAGAGTTTGAAACTTACTAAAAGTTATTTGGGTTAGCCAAGTAAAGGCATGTATGTTGGCAGTCGGTCTATGTTTCAATATTTTTAAGGAAACTTTAGCCCCTTCTTTAATTCCAAAGAATCTCCTTTTTTTAGTTAAAATGTGTAGAATGGGCCCTGGGGAGGGGTAAAGCCAGGACTGGCTTACTGTCCTCATTGGTAGTGCCACAGATAGATTCTCAGGTAACAAAGAATTATACCTTAAATTTACTCAAGTATATGTTCATTTAAATTTTTAAAAACTGAGAAATGCAAGTCCTTTAAAATAAAATTTACTTTAAAAAATTTACTGACTTTATTTATTTATGATTCCAAAGTTATCTCAGGCAGCTCACAAGATTGCAGAAAATAAAGGCATGCTGAAATAGTGAGACCAGTAAGAGACTGAGCCACAGAGGAATAGAAACACAACTTCTGGGGGTTGACCTAATTCTGTAAGTGAACTTAAAATTTAAGTCTGAGCCCCCGGAATCCAGAGTGAAGTGCAAGGCATTGGCAGTTATGTCATTCTCACTAACAGCAAAGGGGATGCCTGAGGGTTTCTGGAGCCTCACATCCGCTTTCCCCTGACTGGTTCATTTCTGGGCACAGGTGTATGGTGATGACCATGAGGATGAGATGGGAACGGTGGGTTATTTTCCCAGGAACTTGGTGGAGGAGCAACACGTGTACCAGGAAGCCACCAAGGAAGTCCCGACCACAGTAAGTGTCTCAGAGGTGGCCAGAGAAAGACTCAGCTCTAGCATAATGCAGGCTGGTGTTTACATGCATTATGTAACTCACATTATATATGGAGCAAAGCCCCAGGTTCCCGTGGTGACTTCTGAGACAGAGAGGTTTGGGAGAGCATCCACACCTACTACCAAGGTTGAAAGAGTATTGAACTTTCTCCACTGACCCCCCTTTTGTTTTAGTTGAAAGTAATTCATGTCACAAAGAAAGAAACCAAAATAGTATCATCTGACTCTAACTGATGGTCACATATTTATTTGCTCAAGACTTGGCCTGGGGAAAAAATATACCACCTGTATTTAATAAAGTCAATACATTCTGGTAAAATCTTTGAATACCTTATTTTTAAACATGTTTTTATATTTTATTGATTTTTTACAGAGAGGATGGGAGAGGGATAGAGAGTTAGAAACATCAATGAGAGAGAAACATCGATCGGCTGCCTCCTGCACACCCCCCCTGGGGATGTGCCCGCAGCCAAGGCACATGCCCTTGACCGGAATCGAACCTGGGACCGTTCAGTCCGAAGGCCGACACTCTATCCACTGAGCCAAACCGGTTAGGGCTGAATACCTTATTTTTGTGGTAGACTCCACTTATGTATGGAAAAAAAAATTACACCCTTTCCAATACCCTGGGGTCTTGTAAACCCAGGACAGAAATAAAAGATCCCCTTAGAGCTACTTTGTAAGGTGGTTATTTTGAAGCCGTTCTCCCGGAGCTAACTGCTGTGCTAAATAATTTCAAAACATTGCCCAGCCTAACCAAATGGAACTCACTTGTCATCATTTGTTAGCATTGAACTTGAATATGTCAAATAACCATAAATTAAAAGTGTATTTGAGAACTTTCATTTTAAGTAATTTTACTTTAAAGTGATAATTAAGTCATAATCTTTGGGTTTCAACCTTTACTTATTTTAAGTCCAAATTAAGCTTTGATTAGGTATTATTTTAAATAAAGAATCTACATCTGTTTTCTGGCCCCACCTCTCAGTTCATTCTTTTTTTCCTTTTGTTTCTGTTCCAGGATATTGACTTTTTCTGCGAGTAAGAAATTAGACAAATCTGCAAGTAGAAAGAAAACACCAAAATTAAGAAAAAAGGCAAACAAACAAGAAACCCCAAATTCTGTGTCCCTTATTTTGGACTTTGGTTTCCAGGATTTGTTACCTTACAGGAGGACTAAGGTTTGGGGCCAGAGGTGGCAGAAAAGGAAGGGCTTCAACTCAGTCTCATTTTCTATTGGCTTGGTTTCAGCGCAAGTGGGTGATTGAAAGCAGAGGATTACTTGTCAGCCTTCTCTTACAGAGGGATGCATAGAGAAGATGGTTCATCCGTAGCTATTTCTGAAGAGTAATTCTTCCCTGCTCTTTGGCTCCCTGTATAAACCTGGTAGATCACACAGGTCTTCCCTTGGGACATGCTGTTTTCTTCCTACGTGACTTTCTGGAAAACTGGAATGTTATAATTTACCCAAAGGCACTGTATCATCAGGGAATACTCTAGGATTGTTGTTACTTTTAATCTTTGATGGCTTTGGGATGTGAAGTTGTTGGTGGGGGGAGAGCTATTTGGACTCATAGATGTTTGAACTATGCTTTTAAATTTATCTTTTTAAAAAGTCTCACAAATTATTTCATCTGAATAATTTTACCCTCTAAATGATCAATTTACCCCTCTCCAAATTTTAAATATTTGTGTATACAGTGGGGGTGGGACAGTTTATAAAATATTTTTAATGAAATAGTTTCCCTTTAATATGTGCTACCACTTGGTGTTATTCAAGCTTCAAGTGAAAAGACACAAAAAAACAAATCTGTAGGTTATTTTCTCCTTCTGTTTCAACTTGAATTTCCTCTTCCTGTGCAAATTCCCCAGTCAAGGACGATGTGGAAAGAAAATCTGGTGAGGGACGCAGGTTGGGTAGTTCCAATTGACCCATAAGTTTTCCTATATTTAACTGGAAATCTGCTTTGGTTTTGTATTACTAATGTAATTCTTTTGATATAGTCATAAATTTGTGTTGTTTGTCTGTTTACAATGTTAATAAAAATGTCTGTACTAGACTCAAAAAATTTCACCATTTCTGAGTTTAAATCTAGTATTTTAAAAACATTTTTTACCTTAGGGTGTAGAAAGTTGGTGGGGAGGAGTTGGAAATGGGGTTTGTTCCTCAGTTTTCTGTGGTCTGGTCATCCCACAACCATGAAGAGGGGGCCATTTAAGGCAAGTTGGAGACTTAGATCCCAGGGTCATTTTTCATCTAGGTCCACAGTGACTTTAGATAAGCGGTTCTCAACCTGTGGGTTGCGACCCCTTTGGGGGTCGAACAATCCTTTCACAGGGGTCGCCTAAGACCATCGGAAAACACATATAATTACATATTATTTCTGTGATTAATCACTATGCTTTAATTATGTTCAATTTGTAACAATGAAAATATCCACAATCCTGCATATCAGATATTTACATTACGATTCATAACAGTAGGAAAATTACAGTTATGAAGTAGCAACGAAAATAATTTTATGGTTGGGGGTCACCACAACATGAGGAACTGTATTAAAGGGTCGCAGCATTAGGAAGGTTGAGAACCACTGCTTTAGATGAAGATGTTTTTGCCAAATTATTATGGAGTTCAGTCATGTAAATGATACACCTTCCACTCCATCAAAAAAAGCCTAAAACCCCCAAACTAGTTTATTTTTTTCTATCTCACTTTATTCCATTAAAAGTTTCAGGCAGCATGTAGGGCTCTCAACACACTTTTAAGGTAAGAAGAGTTTACTCTACCTTTGTTTCTATTTGTCTCTTGCCTGCTGGCTCCCCCATTCCAGATACCCCATCATCCCTTGAAACACCCAGAAGCCCCATTGTCCTCTCAATCTGCCCAACACCCCCATCTGTCTGGCCTCATGCATCCAGCCTCATTTTTCAACCACAGGGCTTCCAACTGCAGGCTCCCTCCTTGCCCCAGCCAGCTCCTACGCACCAGGACTGACATCTACCTCGAGAAAAGGGGCTGAGTAGTGAAGGGTGAGGGTTGGGGGGATGGGGGGGGGCGGGGGGGCAATGAGGCCTCTGGGACCCATTCTCACTTGGGGAGTTTTCCTTCCTTTCTTCCTTCCCACGAAGAGCAAAGACATTTTAACAACTCAGAGAGGCTATCACCCACTGACATTGTGGGTTCACAACCTCAGGAGTTCCCCGGGTTAAATCTGAAACTGGCCCCTGTGCCCAGAGGGCAAGGAGAGTGGGAAGAAAAGGGCAGGCCACTCCAGTCCGATAGATGGCAGGTTAAGAAGCTAGAGAACTTGCATACGAGGCCGCCAGACCTCGCAGTGTGACTAAGTTCAGCAGCCGTTTTTGTGTATTAAAGCTTTAGAAAACTCTGGCATATTTCCTACGCTTAGAAGAAAGAGAAGTCAAAGGTGCCGTTGCCTTTAGCATCACGCACCCCTGCCCCGAGATAAATGTGGGCATTTATTGCTTCTCGTGTTTATTGGTTGAGGAGACACTGGTGCCCTCATGGATCTGATTCAATACAGGGACATATTGAGCTCATCTGTGTGGTATTTAAACAAATCTCTGGAGGGAGTGGGTATTTCAGCTCTGAGTGGAGAGAAGAAATAGGAGCTAGCACTAGGAAGAAAATCTCATTTCTTCAACCCTCAGCCTCATCTATCTGAAATGATAAACAAAATAAGAGAAAAACAAATTATACAAGCTAATACCATTCCACATTGTACCCTTGAAATGCAATTTTCGTGACTTAAAGGCCTTCCCATGCTCTGATGTCGTCTCAGCTGTGTCCCCTACAAACACCAGGATATATCAGCAATTCAATCAGCAAATGACATATTGATCACAAGCTTTATATAACGACCCTCTAACCCATCATTAACTGAGACAGAGAATGCTCCCCAACCCATGATTTAAATATTTTTCTAAATGGGAATGACTTTTCTGTCACACATGAGCAATTGTTTTAATCATTTTTTCTCAAGCATGCACTATCCTAAAGCCAGTGTGTGTGGGAGGTAAAAAATGAGGTGGTGCTCCTAATAGTTCACCCTGCTTTCCCACCGCTCATGTCCTGTTACCCTCCCTCTCCCCTTTTCCTAGTTGCTTCACCAGGTGAATTTATTCTGGACACAAGAACCAGATGCGGTGGGAATGTTAATTTGAGTAATCCTATGTAGATGTGGAAAAAAATAACAAGTAAAACTTCTCTCCCTGCTCTTTCTCATCTTGGGTACCTTATGACTCCAAAGTGATTTAAAGATCTTTTTATCTGCTTCTAGATTTTTTTTCTGAGTCTTCAGATGCCACAAATGGATAAAGCTCAAGCCTTGACCCCCATGGACCACAAGCACACACACTGGTTCCTGAGAAGTAGCCCTCAGCCATGCTCAGAGGGTCAGCAGGCAGAAGCGGTCAGCTGGACAGAACCACAGGAAAAGGCAGAGAGGTCTGGGCCCAGGCTAGCTAACTTGCGAGCCCAAATCCTACTGATACCTGAAGCAGAAAGAGAGAGGATCCTGGGGAAAAGGAACCAAGGATTTTTGAGCAGGGGCTGTAAACCAGCACCTTAGAGGAGGTTCCCTAGAAGTAGACCTTGAGATGGGGATTTAGGTATAGTGATTTATGAAAGAACTAGAGGCCCGATGCACGAAAATTCATGCAAGAGTAGGCCTTCCCTCCCCCAGCTGCCAGCACCAGCTTCCCTCTGGCACCCGGGACCCGGGCTTTGCTCTGGCAGGACACGGCTGCTTCCCTTCAACTGCCGCCTCCAGGCACCCGGGACCCGGGTGGCTTTACTCCGGCCCTGACTTCGTCCAGAAGGACGTCCAGAATGATGCCCAGAGGAGGTTTGGTCTAATGGTCTAATTAGCATGTTACCCTTTTATTATTATAGATGGCTCCGGGGAAAAGAGGAAGGGCGAGAGGAGTAGCAGGACAGGTCAACAAGGGTGCAGCCCTACAGTGCTGGTCTCTGCCTGATCCCACGGGGCCTCAGAGAGTTATCCTCAGGGGCTGACCAGCCAGAGTCTAGGAAGCTGAGCTTCTGTTGGCCTGTTGGTCACTGATTAAGGGCTGCCATGGGGGAACATCGTCTCCCGGCAGTAATGGCCCTCTCTTCATATGGGCACAGCGGGCTTGAGCTGGCTGTAGGTGCCGAGGGTACGTGACAACACTGAAAGGGCATTCCGGGGCACTGGGGTGGGGGAGCACTATCTGCTGGCTGTGCACAAGCTGCTTTTCACTTCATTTCATCTTCCCAGCAATCTGTGAGCACCCAGGAGCCCTTACCATAACCTTTCTGGGACAGGTGAAGGCTACTCTGGTCCCACATTTCCTCCCAGAGCAGCCTACATGGGCCCTGAAACTTCCTGGTGTGGAAGTTAGCTGTAGTGAGAAACTCCGGTGAAACCAGGGTGACATCCAGTGGTGAGCTTGGGATCTGGCAGACAGAGAGATTTCTAAACCAGTCAGCATCCCAGGGTGTGAGCATCCTTCATAGCGCTCTGAATCGTTAATATCAGGGCTGCCTCCTCCCACGGACTCTGCATACCTCACCCCTCCCCTCCAACACAATCTTAAAATCTGCCTGTCACATGGCAGAGAGAGGGCTATTCATATGCCTTTACCGCCGACCTTAAAATACATTAAACTGATTTGAAAATTCACAGGTTAGGGGAAAGCTGACATTTCACTTTCGCATCTGTTTTGCATGTTTGCCTTGGATGTGGAGCCCTGCAGAGCTTGTAGATTGTTTTACTTGACTTAATCCATTTACAGAAAAGCAGCAATAGCACCTGGAGCTCAGAGAGTAGAAGCTTCTCCAGAAAACAATTAGCAGGGCCCCAGCCCCTTCCAGGGGTGTCAGGGGGTGGCTGAAAGGCATGGGACTCAGTGCCCCACATCACTTACTTATGAAGCGTGCGGGCAGGCATCTGCAGTTAGACAAGCTGGCTTGCCATGCACACGCTCTCCATGGCCCCGCGCTGGGACATGAACTAATTCGTCTAATAGCTGGGTGCTCTACAGGGGCCATTTGATCCCATTCCCCAGCTCCTCCTGGGGACATTGGGCAATGTCTACAGACTTTTTTTTTATATCCTCACCTGAGGATATGATTTTATTGATTTTTTAGAGAAGGAAGGTGGGAGAGAGAGAGAGAGAGAGAGAGAGAGAGAGAAAAGAAAATATTGATGTGCGAGAGAAACATCAATGGGTTGCCTCCTGTACATGCCAGGACTAGGGATCGAACCCACAATCTAGATATATGGTGCCTTGACTAGGTAACAAACCTGCAACCTTTGGGTGTATGGGGCGATACTCTAACCAACCGGGCCACCCAGCCAGAGCTGTCTGCAGACATTCTTGATTGTCACAATGGAGGGGGGCAGTTCTGGCATCTAGTGGGCGGAGGCCAGCGATGCTGCCAAACATCCTATAGCACAAGAGAGCCCGACCAGGAACGATTGAGACCAACGTCAGCAGTGTCCATTGGGAAAGCCTGCTCTCTAAAGGGTGATATTAATCAATGGGTGACCTTTGAGAGAATGGCAAGTACTAGAAAGGTCAAAGCAATTACGTGGCTGTGTTTATTCTCCAATTCTGGAGTGTAATTTTTTTGTAATGAATCATTAGGTAGAGCCGGAAAAGCAGGTCTGTGCAGGTTTACCTTGACACACGAACACCACACCTTCTGCACTGGCACACGGCACAGAGACAACCTCCATCTTGCAGTCGGCTTACAAAGGAGCATCAGCAATTCCCTTTCTCCAGGATTTTAAACGCAGCCCTTTGCTTCCTGCTCTAGCTGTGCACCCTCTTACTCTGGAAGTAACATTTCCCTGGAATGAATGCCCTTCAGCAGTTCCAGGAGGGCGGGCTCCTGAAGGGCTGGTGCAGGATGGGGGCCTAAGGCTATTTGCATTTCTTCCCGCATCCTCTAGCTCGGCAAACTCATTAGTCAACAGAGCCAAATATCAACAGTTCAACGATTGAAATTTCTTTTGAGAGCCAAATTTTTTAAACTTAAACTATATAGGTAGGTAC